GAAAGACTTAGTTTTTAGGTCATGATGTGAGGTCAATGGATAGCTATTTTGTGAGAAAATTCGATAACTTAAAATTGAAGTGTTTTTTTTGTTTGTTTTGTTTTGTTTTTAAAGAAATCATAAATGTACTGAAAATCTTAGGATGTGGAAGGTCTTTCTTCTCATGATACCAAAGTCAGACCACAAAAGGAAAGATTTATTTAATAATATTAACACATTGTATGCGGGAAATGTATTTATACGTTTTACGTTGACTATAGTAGTAGTGCGCGGGACATGTATTAATACGTTTTTTATAGACTAGCAGTAGAATGTGGGTAACGTATAAATACGTAAACTAAAGTTATCGTAATTTTACTGAACGTTGCCATTTGCGCAAAAAATTAGCAATAATGGCCCGTGCCACCTGTTAGCGCACGATAAAAACTACCTGCAAACAATGTGTTAAAACTGCAGACTTTTGCCCTGCCTGGTGTCGCTCAATTGGTTGGGTGTAGTCTCGTCTATGGAAAGGTTGCCTATTCAATTCCTGGTCAGGGCACATCCCCAGGCTTCAGGCTTACAAGTAGGGTAAGCATGTCAAACTCGCAGCTCATGGGAATATTTTTGTGGCCCAGCCAATATAACGGTATGTAAGAAACATTTTAATAAAAATTTTGTAATTTAATTTTTACAATATCTTGTTAAACATAATTATCAATAATGAACTACAACGTTCGCTAATGACTGATTACTATAATTGTGTTGCGTTCATTTCCCTTACGCGCAGGCACACCATTTCTCTCCCCTAATACTAGCAGTTAATAGTTTAGCAGCTGATTGCCACCTCATTAGTCTTGGACTGAATTGTTTGGTGTGCGCAATAGAAAATATTTCGCTTTCAGAGAACAAGAAAAATAGGTTTATTTGCGTTAACGTTTATTAATTTGTGCAGTTATTTAGTATCTGGTAAGTTAATGTTGAACAAAAAATATTAATTTTTATTAAAATGTATTATTTTATGTTAACAATTACTCATTTGTTTCAGCCCTTTGTATTCAGCACCTCTCTATTGAAATAAACCTACATTTCTATGAAAATTGAAGCTTTGTTTTTTGTGGCCCACATAAACTTAAACCTTTTTATTTGGCCCGTGTTAGCCTTTGAGTTTGATATGCTTGCAATAGGGGGTGTGCAGGAAGCAGTCATTCGATGTTTGTGCTTGCACATAGATGCTTCTCTTCCTCTCCCTTCCTCTCACCTTAAAAGTCAATAAAAAAAATCTTAAAAAAAAAAAAAAAACAACTGGGACAAATGTTACATAATAAAGGGTTAATGTACTTCCTCAGTTAAAAGGCCTTGCAAATTATTTTTAAAAAAAGAAAAAGAGAGCCCGGCCGGTGTTGCTCAGTGGTTGGGCATCTAACTGTGAACTAGGAGGTCACAGTTCGATTTCAGTCAGGGCACATGCCCAGGTTATGGACTTGATCCCCAGTATGGGTGTGCAGGAGGCAGCCGATCAATGATTCTCTCTCATCATTGATGTTTCTCTCTCTCTCCCTCTCCCTTCCTCTATGAAATGAATTAAAACATATTTAAAATTTTTTTCCCCTTTCCCATAGCTCCTATATTAGAAAAAAAAAAAGGAAAAGAGGAATAATGAACCCCTTTATAGAGGGGGAAAAAAGGGTAAAGGATTCTTTTTTGTGAAACTCATTTCACAGGAATTTTGGCCTCCATATTAGACTGTCTCCATTGGATGGTTCATAGCTTCTCCAAGAGGAATTTAAAAAGTACTTCATGGGATTATTCTGAGGCTTAAACACAATAATTAATGTAAAATGCTTTGTCAGTTATCTGGCACATAGTAGTCATTCAATAATTGAGCCCTATCACTGTTACAGAAAGGTAGAATAAAGTTAAGAGCTCATCAGTTAACAATGTCGAAACAGAATAAGAATCATGTTTTAATGGTTTGGGATAATGAATCCTCTTTAGTTTAAAATCTAAACTGATAAATCTTTATGGAGGGCAATTTAATAATAATGTCAATGTTCATACTTTTTGATCATTTTCATTTCTTGGAGTTTATCCTAAGGAAACAAACAAGGATAAAGGTATGTATGGAACAAGGATTTTATCATAGCATGATTTACAGGAATAAGGAATTTTGAATACATTTTTTAGTCCATTTGACAAAACACAATATAGACATTGAAAGTCATATTTATGAAGAATATTTAAAGATGTAGAGAAATATTCAATGTTTGTGATACAATTTTTCAAGAAAAAGCAAGATACAGAAGTCTATATAGTTGGATCTTAATTTTTCTAAATAAGTGGTATAACATAGCAAAAGTAGATTGGATAGAAGACCAGGGAAAGTCTTCATTGTTGGTGTGAGTCACAAGTTAATTGTCACCAGTTGGTATCTTCATAAAACAAAGATGCTGCCTCAGCCTGTGCTGAAGTCCCATTGGGTTTCCCCAAACCCTTCCTCCCAGCCTACCTGTTGTGGCACTGGGGACAATGGCTCTTTTAAGTGAGGGAATACATGTAGTGCCCCTACGTCCATTCAGAAATTCAGCAAACATTTTTCAAGTACCTGCTATATGCTGGGCACTGTGCTAATATCTCTAACCTTATCTTATTTAATTAAACATATTTTTCATAGCCTTAAAAAAAGAAAAAGAAGTAGACTGGAAGGAAATACTACAATAATTTTAATAGCAATTATCTTTGGTGGGATTAGTGATTTTAATTTTTTCGTACATTTCTACAGTAAAGCTGTTATACAATAAACTTACGTAATACAGTAAACTTATAGAATAAGTTTCCATCACCAATTTATTAACTTCTGCTCTTTCTTTTCTCTTATTAAAAAAAAAAGCAAATACTTTCGCTAAAAAAGAGAGTGGTATGTTTTTTAGGTTTACTCTTTAGGAAAGGAGATCAATATGAGATAGAGAAAATGGGGATAGTTTAGGGGCTTGAGTGAAGCACTTTACATTATTTAAGAAAGAAGGTAAATTAATAAATTACAATGTGTTCTCTTGAGTTTTCAGAATTTTAGAAGTCTAACTTTAATCTGTTCATTCGAAGTATAGTAGCACAATAATCAGGAAGATAAATATGTCTATTATGAAAAGTCAAGGAGAGCCAGAAGATTAGATCAAATACCTGGATAACATAATTCCAGAAAAAAAGTACTAACAGAAAGAGGTGTTACACTTGAAATTGGTTTCAAGCTTGCTGTAGGATGAAAAAGAAAGAAAACAATTCTCATGAGCCAAGAAACTCAGCTTCCAGCACAGCATCAAAGAGTTTAATATTCTAAGTAGCTGCTCATAGTTGGAAGAAAATGGAAAATTTCATGGAGAAGGTCTTTGAAAACTTGTCCAAGTATAAACTCTTTTATGTGTTTAATTATTGGGATTTGGATGGAGTTAAAATAAGTAATTATCATGGTGGCTTTCACAGGTTAGTGGTCTGCAAATAAAGGAATAAGCTCATATATAAAAGGCAAATTATTATTGTTTTTCATGTTTTGCAATACATATATTGACATTTAAACACTGGTTGAAACTTTTTTGTTTCTTCTTTGTTTACTATAAATTTCCATGTAAAGCATTTATAGCTCCATACAATGAAGGCCTCTCACCACATGATTTTCTATCTTGTGACCTCAACACAACCTTTTAAAAAACTGTATGTTGTTGACCCAACATTTTTTTATTTTAAACAAAAATCACAAATTCTATTGGAGTCCATAGTAGAGGTCCTAGATTTGGTTGATGGTAGAGGACAGTGTTCAGAGATCTCACCAGGGAGGATAGGACATTTCGTGAGGTGTCAGGTTAATCATACTAAGGACTTCTGACCTTGAGACAGATCGTCTTGCCATGAGTACAAGATTGGAGGGAAGGTGGCCTGTTAGGGATGGTTGCAGTTATGTAAGGACAAGGGTAATAGCAGCTTGTGAGATATACTCTTGTTTCCTGATTACATAATATTTGTCAGTCATGTTTAAGAGTGATATTAGTCTAATACAGCTGTTCTCAACCTGTGGGTCGTGACCCCTTTGGGGGTCGAACGACCCTTTCACAGGGGTCGCCTGAGACCATCGGAAAACACATATAATTACATATTGTTTTTGTGATTAGTCACTATGCTTTAATTATGTTCAATTTGTAACAATGAAATTGGGGGTCACAACAACATGAGGAACTGTATTAAAAGGTTGTGGCATTAGGAAGGTTGAGAACCACTGGTCTAATATCTTCTGGAGGCCAGGAATCATATATTTTTACTCTAAAATATCTGAAGAGCTGTGTGTCCCAGCCCATGCTTTTGTGACACAGCATGATGATGTCTTATTTCCAGTGCACACATATTTTCTTTCATTTACTGTATCTTATGAATTCAATATTTTTATTTCCCTGGAAACCTAATGGGAAAGTAAATTATATTAATTAGCTTGTACCATGAAAAGTTCACCCCTTACTTTAGATATGTTATCCAGGATACTTTTTCTTCCACTGTTTGGTTGTTGTTGCTAGTACTTGACACTCTGATGACATTGTTACATTAAGGAATGGTAAGGAAATTAGGGCCTGTTAAGTTTGCAGCTGCATTTTATGGTTATTAAAGAATGTTGATCTCTATAAAACATACTAGTATTAATTCTTGAGATAGTGAGGAATCTTCCCTCCCAAGTCTAAAGCAAATTTAGCACAAGGTAAAGATGATGGTGGGTTGATGCTGATGAAGAGCCTGCTTTTCAATAGTGAAGAATGAATGAAAGGTGATGCTTTAAATACAGCTGACACATTAAAGGGTATTATTAATGGTCTCTTTTTGAACTCACCACTTTTATTTGTATCCCTATTAAGAAATTTATTATTTCTTTTTCCTTGTATTTATTAATTCATTTAAAAAGTATTTATCTCCTTATGAGAGATGCCATATGTAACATGCATAAGTATTTACCCACAGGCAGGTTAGAGTATAGTTCTGTTCAACACACATGCTAAATATAACATGTATTATAGTTAGACATGTATAGGCCTACCTAGTTGCAGATGTGTGTGTCTTACAACTACTAATTTGTTGCATTGCATTCAGTATGCAGTAAATATTTTTGAAGGAAGGAAAGCTGGACAGTTGAAAAGATTTCCACCTCCACTAGAAAAAAGCAGCAGATAAATTTGTTGACTCCTCATTGGAGTCAGCATCATTCCTTTGGTTCAGCTTAAGGCTTACTGTTCTTAAGTTAGCATAATATAGATGATGCTAGATCACCCATAGGACAGTTTAAAATTCACTCAATCAGCTAGATGTTTTGCCTCACCTTTTCAAGGTGTTAAATCTCATTTCAAAGAAAGTCATGTGTGCATGTGTGTGTGTATAAACATCTGCCTTTTTGTCAGTAATATTGAAGAAGACTGATTTATTTAGCAAAAAATTGATTTTTATTTGTAATTATTATTTCCTGTTATAACTTGGAACTCTTTTTTTTTTTTTTTTATAGGCGAGTGGCCGAACTTTTTATGTTTGATTTTGAAATCAGTGGAATCCATCTAGACAAAGAAAAGGTAAAACTTTCCTTTCTGTTTTTTGGGTTCTCTTGTTTTACTAATATTTAATTAGTATCGTTGTTGCTACAGTCCTCATGTACAGCTTGAATTTGCATATTGTAAAACTGCTTAGATCATTTATATTATGAAATTCTCCTAAAGGTTGTATTTGAATGTAGTGCTCTCCAGAAGTTGGCCTGTCACCACGATAATTCAGAATTAAAAATGACTTTAGAGAGTAGGGATGTTTTAGATGTCTTGGAATTAGGATGAGATGGGCAGTATCAAGAAAGACAAGGCAAATGAGTGAGGGAACTGACACCATTGAAGATTAAGATCTGGAGGTAGAAGTACAGGGATATCATTAAGACCTTTACATAGGTATATTTATTCATATTATAGATGTCTTTGACAGATTTACACAGTTTTGTTCCTGAAGCAGTATGTATGGGTTGTGCAAAGTTTAAGCTGATACTAGACAGGCCTTCTATATTGTCAAGACTCCTCATTTTACAGGTGTGGAAACAATACAGAGTTTTATTCAAGTTCCCATCCTTAGTTTCCAGGACTCCTAACCCTGGCCACTGCTCCTTCCAGAACATGACATCTTAAGAAACTGAGTGCCTCATTTCAATATCAAGCTCCAGGTTGGAAGAATGGGGGTGACTTGACCACCACTGAAAGAATTGCTTGCTCCACAGTATCTCCCCTACATGCCTGCAGTCTAGACTACTATAGTTATGCTTTATTTTAAAAAAGTTTTTCCTAATAAGTATAGTATAAAGCCATTTAACTGATTAATAGAGATTAGTTTATTAGAGTATCTTGAAAAATAGAGGGCCAGGTTTTGGGATATATAACATATAGAATAGACTATGTCATTTTAATTGGTGCAGGGTTTGAGCAATGCAGAGACTGCTCATACATGACTCCTGGCCTAACCTTAAGCCCAACATCCACAAGGCTAATAGGCTATACTGTAAATTCACATTGCCTAGAATGGACACATTTTCCCCTCTCCAAGTCAATTGTTTACTTCTCTGTACAGTGATACCACCATTCTCAGAGTCATTCAAATAAAATTTTAGAGTCAGTTTGCATTTTTTTCCACTCCCAATATTCTCATATCTTAATCAGTGACCAAGTCCCTGGATTATTCCTTTAGAGCTTCTCCTGCATCTGTCTGCATCCCCCCAAAAAATCATCTTGATCCTTATCACCAAATCTCTGGGCTGTCCTACAGTCCATTGTCTTCCTGACACTCATTATAATTAACAGCAGTTTAAAGCATATATCGCTCATCAGATCTTTTTTTTTAATATATATTTTATTGATTTTTTACAGAGAGGAAGGGAGAGGGATAGAGAGCTAGAAATATCGATGAGAGAGAAACACTGATCAGCTGCCTCCTGCACACCCCTCACTGGGGATGTGCCTGCAACCAAGGTACATGCCCTTGACCGGAATTGAACCTGGGACCCTTCAGTCTGCAGGCCGATGCTCTATCCACTGAGCCAAACCAGTTAGGGCTCATCAGATCTTTATAACAAATTTGGGGCTGGTGCTACTATTATTCCTGTCTTATAGATGAAGAAACAGACATCTAGAGGATATGTGATTTATACAAAGTTACAGAGCTAGTAGGTTGCATATTACGCACAGATGGGGCAAAAGTAGTTTTACTTTTATATTATGGAAAATAATGCAAAAATTAATAATAATAATACAAGAATAAACTCTGTGTTTCATGTACTCACAACTGTAAATCTACTTTTGCCCCACCTGTATGTCAAACACTCTAGAGCAGGGATGGGCAAACTTTTTGACTCGAGGGCCACAATGGGTTCTTAAACTGGACCGGAGGGCCGGAACAAAGCATGGATGGGGTGTTTGTGTGAACTAATATAAATTCAAAGTAAACATCATTACATAAAAGGGTACGGTCTTTTTTTTCAATAGTTTTATTCATTTCAAACGGGCTGGATCCGGCCCGCAGGCCGTAGTTTGCCCACTGTGGTAATAAATAGAATAACATGCTGGGTGGAGGTCATCCCTGGGCAAACTATGGCCCATGGGCCGGATCCAGCCCGTTTGAAATGAATAAAACTATTGAAAAAAAAGACCGTACCCTTTTATGTAATGATGTTTACTTTGAATTTATATTAGTTCACACAAACACCCCATCCATGCTTTGTTCCGGCCCTCCGGTCCAGTTTAAGAACCCATTGTGGCCCTCGAGTCAAAAAGTTTGCCCACCCCTGAGCCCTTCCTACAGTTCTGACTGACAGTGGTCAGTCTACCTGTCTGAACATTGGAATCATTTCCTTCAAGCATTGACTTGATTGTTACTCTCCTGTCCAGAACCTTTCAGTGACTTCCCATTGTCTATTGAAAAAGTATAATAAGCTCTCCCTGTGCCTCAGTGAATTCATGATACTCTGTCCTTCCATTTGTGGTTCTGTGTTATCCTCATCTGCCTGCTCACCAGGTTTGTCCCCCTAAAATCCCTGTTAAGATTCATCTTCAGCCGATGGTGTCTGCAAAGCTTCATCAATCTCCGAGTTGGAATTCTGTATTCATATGAACTCATATTTTACTTATTTCATGCACCTGACATTTATCTTTAACTGCTTTTTATTGAAGTTGTTGTTACTATTATTGCATCTAAATTATATACTTCTCAAGGATAGAGTATGTGGATCATATTTTTAATGCATACCAGTTTTGGACTTAATAAAATATTGAATGAATGTATAATGAGTCATAATAATGCCTGCTAATATTAATCAAGTTTGATGTCTTCAGGAGGAAGGCTGTAGCTGAATGATTTAATCATTTTATTTAATCCTCATGAAAGATGTTTTTGAAACTTTACTAAAGGTATTATGTGTCAAGTCAAGGTCAGTTTCACCAGTATTAAACTTGTTCTCTTACTTTTTTTTTTTAATCCTCACCCGAGAATATTTTTTACCCCATTGATTTTTTTGAGAGAGTAAAAGGGAGGGGTAGACACAGACAGAGACAGAGAAACATAAATGTGAAAGAGACACAGGTTGGTTGCCTCCTGCACATGCCCTGACCAGGGATAGCCCTTGTCCAGGAATCAAACCTGGACCTTTCAGTCCATGGGCCAACGCTCCAACCACCCAGCCAAACTGGCCAGGGCTATCTTATGTTTTTATAAGAATAGCTGCCCTTCCCAGCAAGTAACTCCCTGGGACCCATGGACATTAAGTCTCTCTTGTAACTTCTATGTCTGTTTTCTAAGGTGCTCCGCAAGGATGGGATAAAAGAAAAATGTTAACACTTTTTAAAGAAAGATCTTGAAGTAAACCCAAGAACATAATCTACAAATCGTAGTTTTATTCTTATTTAATTTGGAAGGTCTCACTGAATATAATTTACAAGTTTGAAATTAAGGGAAGTATATGTTTTTAGTGATTATGTAATAAATAACAATTTCATAGACTTCTTAGAGTTTAGAGTACTGCTCATTTAGTTATTTCAAGATGATGAAATGCCTAGCAGATTGTTGGTGAAGTCGGGAAGTAAACCCACTTTTTATTTTTCCAGATAAAGAGTTATTTTTTATTTATTTATTTTTTCATAGTAAAGGCTTTGGGGGAAATTTTGGGATCCTGGAATTTTTCATCTTTTCTGTTATTCCATTTATTACCATTAGGTGGTGCTAATTGGCCATATCAGAAACAAAGTAGGAGTAGAGAAATCTGGACTATAAAGATGTTGGACTATCTGAAAAATTATTTTTCACATAAAGTTTGAATTTTCTATATTGAAAATATTTGGTTATTAATATATACTTAATTTTTAGCATCTTATCAAATGTACACCTGCATCTTATATATTTATTTTAAAAATATGTTAGTGCTGCTTAGTCATTTTTTAGGGTCTTAGTATAGTTTAGAATTTATTAATAGCTATTGACTCCTTTTCCAGAAAGACTTCCATTTGTTTTCACATGATGCCCATCATGAGCCCAGGTCCAGGTGCTTGTTTAGTTTTCTAGTAAAAGCTGAAAATTTATCTCTTGTCCTCCGGTAGACCTGAACTATAGTTCATATTTCATTCGAAATATTTGTGTCACCCCTTTGATACACATTTTTTCCATAGATTGTGTGTCCTAAAAGTGTTACTGCCAAATAAAATTCTCATAGATGTGCCAACACCATCTCCATCATCACCTATGGCTATCTGAGAACCAAACAGTGAGAGTCTGACAGTGAGGGCCAGGCACAAAAGAGAGAATATGTGGTCCTGGCCTTATGGGCTCCAGTCTAGTTCTCACCACTCCACTGCTGTCGTTCTCTAAATACCAAAGTATTTGCAAAATTCAGAACTCTTAAAGTGTTCCCCCTTCTGGAAGTTATCTACACTTTGTGAAGAATTTTAGCAATTCCTTTTTCCTCACCTTTTTAGTATAATCTTCTAAGATAGTATATTTTCTCACCTACATTTCAAATACTTAATTTTTAATCTAAAAATACTTTTAAACATTGTATTGACTAGATTCAATTACA